TTTAAAAATATTATATAAAAATTTTAAATTTTACTTACCTCTCTCTTTGTAATTGCTGAAGCCTTCCGAAATTCTGGAATGGGCTGAATGATGAACACGGATGACTGATTTTGATTGGTCTGAAGTTTCGACTAAGTTTAGGCGTTTCGACGCCTATTTAAACCCACCGAAACCTGTCGAAACATTTAGACTTTCGACAGATTTAGTTTCGACTTTTGACATTAGCCTATTATAGTTTCGTCCCGCAACTATATTATGTGCAATTAGAATATGATATTACTAAAAGGGAGGACATTGAAAATGCAATAAAGGAATTAGCAAGAACACATGTAGCTAATTTGCAGCCAAATCGTGATTTAGGTAAGAATGAAAAACAATCTATATTAGTAGTTCATTTCAAATACTAATGCTAATGTTAAAATTTATAATCAAGAAAAACAAAAAATTGGTATCTTGACTGGCATTGTGAATTGGAGTGAATGGAAATGGCCTACTGAAAATCCTAATAAAGGTAGCATTTGTGCACGTGCTCTACCTAATTTTGGATCATGGAATATTTTTTTTCCTAGTAAAATTCAAAAGATAATGAAAACCCGAATAATTGAGATGCCAATACCAATTATATCTACACATACTCAGCCTAAAGATAAATGGACAACTGCACTTCTAAGGATTTCTGATATTATCTTTAAAGTTTATTATTTGTATTTTTTTTATTTATTTTTTATGTATATAGCGGAAGAAGAACTATAAAATACAAAATACTGAAAATAATAAATATAAAAGTCAAGTAAATACAGTCAAAGCTCGTTATAGTGAATCTCGTTATAGTAAAATCACGTTATAGTGAATTATTTTTAATTCACCAAATCAATTTTTTATAATAAATTTCTCTCGATATAGTGAACTCTTAATAAAATCTCATTATAGTGAACAAAAATGATTAGAACCAAGAGTTCACTATAAAGAGCTTTGACTGTAGTCATTTTACGTTTTATTTGTATAATTATTTACTACAATTGATCTAAATTCTAAATTCTAAATAAAAATAAAAAAAAAACAAACATCATAAGTTACACCAACAATTGATTAAACTAATACCATATTCCAAATAAATAATCAAGAAATAATAAAAAGGTATATTATTATTATAACACATATTCCAACTATATACTAATATTCCTGCAGTCACCTTGTAGGCTGGGGATTAAAGGAAACAGTAAGGGTGAAATAGTACGCATAATTGAAACAGTAAGAACATTGTTAGAAAAAATGTTTTTAGCTGAAAATATTGAAAGTCAAAAAAAATTGAATGCTCAAGAAATGTAACAAGAATTACTAAACCATGTTGAACAAGGAGAAATAGAGGAATTGAAGACTCCAAAAGTATCAATAATCCAGAACCAGATCCACACATTTTTACGCTCATTCAAACGCTTAATATCACGAAAAATGTTACAAAACAATTTACAATAATATTATATAAAATGTATTGCATCATGAGTTTGAAAGTGGTAATAGTTTATCTCTGAAATCTGTCGTAGGTGCATAGTAAAAACTCTTTTACATATAATTATGTTTTACTTTTTTTTAAAAAAAGGTTAATTTTGCTATTGGTGTATTTGGTTATGTAATAAAATGTGGAGTTTAGTATGATGTAATAAATTTTCTCTTTATTAGACTTTTTTGATATATGGGAGGTTTGCTAGGAAAATGTGGCTCTGAGCATTTTTTATTAAAATTTTAATTTTTATTGCATTTTAATGTTTGATACTATTAGATTAAAATGCAATAAAAATTAAAATTTTAATAAAAAATGCTCAGAGCTCCATTTTTCTAGCAAACCTCACATATGTCAAATTACTAATTGATTGACAAAAATTTCCCCCAAAATTATATAAAAATTTGGTACCAATCATAGGCGGACTGACAATTAATTTAATTTTATATAATCTATTTGATATATTTATTTATTTATTGTATATATTTAAAAGTATTTAAATTTAATTGTATATAATAAAAAATATTTATACAATAACTTTATAAATTATTTTATAATTTACAAATAAGTAATGTATGAATTGATTAGGATTTTAACAATATTAAATTAAGTGTTTATTTTAAATTAATATTAAAATAAATTAATACTAACGAATTTGAGTTAGTATTAGGATTAATATTAGGATTAGCGTTAGGGTTAGTTAGGATTAGAGTTGGGGTTGGATTAAAATTAGGTTATTTTATTAATCAACCCAACGATTTAGGGTTAAATTAGGATTAGGTTGGTTTATTAATAAATCCCAAATGAATTAGGATTAGATTATTGTTAGGTAGGATTAGATTAGGGTTAGGTTGGTTAATAATTACAAATTAATATATGATAATTAATTTTTAGTTTTATTTTTACAAATATATTTTAGGATAAATTGAATTGTTAGCGAACCCCGGGGCATCGCCCCGGTAGAACTGACTAACAAAATTGATACGAATGTATTAAGGCAAATTTTAGTGCCCCCGAGTTCCAAAGCACATTTGGATTTAGATAAAGATAAATCCAATGAACCTATAACAGCAGAATTAAAAATTTTAAGTCAAATCCAAAAAATTTATATATAATGCAAATGCATATATACAAGCTCTCACCAGTACATCATTATGAACCACGTTCTACAAAGACAATTCTCAGATGCACTTTATCACCACAAGTCTTCCTTAATTCAAAAATTAGTCTTGTAATTTCGGAAGTATCAAGTAAAGGTAATAGATAATGCAGGATTATTTACTATCCATTTTGTGTCAGAGCATTTACTAAGGGGAACGAATAATAAAAAATTTTTATTTGATTATAATGATAGAAATAAAGTTAATAAATTATTTGCAACTTACTACTTTTGGTAACGCTATAACTTGTAATTTCATTTTCAATTATTCAATAAATCTGAGAATTTGTGCTTGCCAGCTGGAATTCCACGTTTCTTCATTCTTCTTCGATAACACAAAATATGACAGTTCATTTCCTTTCCTCATCACCAAGTTCAGTTCTAAATCCTCGAATTTTATTTGTTCACGTGAATTATTATGTATAATAAATAATTATAACATTTCCGTCTGGACTATATCTTCCTAAATTACCAGTGTTGGGTTATCTTTGCCATCGGTGTCATGAATCTTGTTGCTAAACCAATCCTCCTTAATATTACCCAAAATGCGCTCATTGTTTTTACTTATGAATTTTACCTTCATCACATCCTCTAATCTTAAGCCTCGGCCAATCAACAGTTATAACTAATTTACCATTACCACAAAGAATCTTTCTTTTGCCTCCTAATTAACCGTTCTGCAAACTTTTCCAGTAACTATAACATCCTCCTGAGATGATAAGAATTTGCTGTAGAAGAAAATGATGAAGTAACGAAATAGAAACAGATCGAAACTTCTGTTATTCCATACATGTTGTAATTTGGGTATTGAATGCAAAAGTTATATCGGAATGCTAGCATTAATAGATAGCAATTGACACATAATCATTATTAAGAAGAATTGTGGTATTAATTTCAGCCATCCAAGCAGCCAATTTCCGGAAATGCCAATATCTTCGCTGACTGGAGCATGTAAATTGTATTACGCGAAGCGGAACCGGAATTTTCTGGTGCTTCTCCGGTTAATGCATTTATGATAACAATGAAGCTACCTAAGCGGCTGATAACATTGAAAATAACAAATGTCGATAACAAGAAATCGGATTCAACACCGATAAATAATGAGACTAAGATTATAAGAACCTAAACGTCATCCGACAATTAATTAATATATAAATCAGAATTCAAAACTTACTACCACGCCAATTTGGATCATAGACAATTTGAACATTGTAAAATTTTCCTAATCAGAAAGTCAAATTCTTCGATAATAATAATATAACTTTATTAATTATAACAGATTATACATTTTAATAAAGATACAGTAAAATATAAATATACCATTCGGAGTCCAGTATTTTCATTGCTATCTGATCCAATGATTACAGCATCTATTGTAGCATAATCTCAAACTGAAGCTAGCACATCGCCCCTCCGTAAATATCACTATTGTCTAAAACTTAATTTCTCGAACTATGTAGTACAATAACCAATAGGTAGATATTTTACCGATCCGGTGGATAAGCGGGATCTGCATAAAAATGATTTAAAATCTTTTTATCATCTTTAGTAGAATTGCTTGTCTAATTGATACTTTCAACAACTCATTGCCGTGATTTCATCCATGCTAAGCATCAATGAGAAACTCCTCTCTGGACTCTTAACTTGTACAAAAAAATTGGTGAGCATTTTCCAAACCTTAATT